TTTCTGTGTGTCGCTAACGAACTCCTATTTCCAGTAGTGCAAAGTTTCCCATATTTTTCCCGAAAACCTGCTCTCCCGAGATTTTCAACCTACACACTAAAAACTAAAATACGAACGAAAAATACCGGAAAATACACATAATTCACAAAAATAAATTAAAAACACATAAATAACTATAAAACCACTCTAAAACTAACTAAATGACTCAAAATAAGGATAAAAACATATTAAAATAATAATGAAAAACGTAACAAAAATAGTACAAAGGGTCTCAAAAATAACAAGAGATGAGGAAAAAGCAGGCCCGACCCCTCTCAGAGCCGTATATGAGACTTTCATCTCGTACAGCTCAAAATGATATAAAAATTCTTTCAAATGGCCCACTCAAATAAGGCGTTCAATCTCGTCCTTTAGGTGCCTGCAATTCTCAGTTGTGTGGCCATAGTCATTTGGAAACTTGCAGCATCGACATGATTTTGGTTGGGTTGGTCCTTCTCTCCATGATCTTGGCTAAGTAACCACTCGGTCATCATTCTTTTGCTCGATTTCCTCGAGAACTTCTCCTATTCGAGTCTTCAGGGGTGTGTACTTACCATATATCTGACCATTATGAAGTGGTTGATCCTTCCACCTATCTTTCCTTGACCTGTCTCTGACCGCCTTGCTTATCTCTCCTTGGCGAGTGAGTCCTCTCTTTGGCTCTAGACGAGCTAACTGCTCCAATTTGGCAAACTCCTTCTCTATCTCCTCGAGACATATTTCTTGTGCAGTTTTAAAACTTCGTCATAAGTATGAGCCGACGTCTTAGCAAGAGAGCTTCGACAAGGACCAGCTCGTAAACTCTTTATCAAACCTCCACCTTAACCTCGTCTAAGGCCGAGGGAATTTCCACGCACGCCTGGTTATACCTTGTCGTATACTTCTACAAGGATTCATCCTCCTCTTTTCTCATGGACATCAACATCAAGTAAGTTTACTCTTGGGTGATAGCACTAGAATCAGTTTAGGAACATGCACAAAAGGTCCTCAAAAAATCCTTCACTGACCCTAGGGAGAGCAGGTGAAACTAATCCAGCGTTCCTCCTCTCAAGGTCGAAAGAAATGACCTACAACTCACGGGGTTAGAATATCCATGCAATACTGTCATGTTTTTGAACGATCTCACGTGCCTTGATGGGTCGACCGACCCGTCGTACGTCAAACTAGTCTCCCAAACATTATTCGGCAATGGAGCCTCCAAATTTTCTCTCGAGAATGGGTGTCCTCGAGCTCGACCAGTGGGCTTGCCATCGGTCTTTGACTGCAATTGACGCTATTGCTCCGATATACTCTCCAAGTCTCGAATCCTCTAGACTCCTTCTCTCCTGTAACTGGACTCATCTTCCTCTGTTTTCTACTGGTGTGCACTTCTACCACCATGGTCAGCATAGTGTTGGCTTGAGAAATGTGGTGGGTGGTCTGTTGCACCACTCCTGCCACCACAGTGTTGACAATCATTCGATCTAGCTCATCACTATATAACATAACCGGCTATTGGTAAACTTGCTATGTCTCTTCCCTCAGTGGCCCCATCGCTTTGATCACAGCTCTTCCTAGTTGTGCGCTAGTCAGATCTACCACCTCTTGGGTTGGAACAACCTCTCCTTGAGTTGCTCGAGCTTCTTGGGCCCAGATCGAGCCTACAACAGCTACAAGGACCACCGATGAACTCCCTAAGTTTGTAAGACGAGGCATCGGGGTCATTGGGATCTAAGAAAGTCCGAAGAAGCCTGGTGGAGGGCTAACTCCAAACGGACACAGGTCGTCCACACATCATCGACCGTTGGTTCTAAGTACTTCCTTGGGATTTCGCCCGCCATGGCTATGGTGAACAAATTTTTGTTAAGGAAATTCCCATAAACGGTGTCAAATGGTATTGCAAAGACATCCGATCGGCTGGAAACGAATAGAAACGACTGGATCCCAAGCTCGATCATTAGTTGAATGTCTTCAAACCTGCAGAACTCTCACGCCGGAGGGGGTTTCCGGTGAAGAGCCATCGAATCTTAAGTTAGCAGTTGAAGAAGATGAAGTGCAGTATAAGAGTGTACAATAGTGTAACCATAAAATTGCACATGAGGATATGCCAATCCAATAACGTTGTGTGTCCTAACTCATGTACAATCATTAATTACAATAAGATTTCTTCTTATCCTTTGACCTTCTTCATTAGGCGGTCTAACTGTGCGCCCGAACGCAATTACCTCTAGCTGAAGTGTCATTGTTGTTATGCCTCGCGATCTTACTTATCTAGTCGATCCTTCGACCAGGTACTCCTTCAGGCTGAAATCCCACTAGGTCGTCCTAAGGCCCTCATTCGACCTTCTGGTACGCTTCGTGTCATCGATAGCCTCCTCGAGTTTGGCCTCCTTCCACCTGTGAACTCTTCATTCTTCATTCTGCCTGATGACTGACCCAGTTCGGTCTAACTGCTTTTTCGGTCTAGTCGACCTGGTATATTTATCCCATATTATAACCATATTATCTACAATGTAAAATAAAGAAACTATGTTTGCATAAATTACAGAGATACACTTGACTAAAACATTATCTTTATTCAAAATAGTATTGTTCGAAACTGAAAGTTATGGATTTACAGTATACCCTAACAGTAACCTAATGCAGCGGTAGGCTGTGAATTTTCACCCACATATCAACTTTTAGCTCCTCGCTTTGAATTCAATTTCATCCTTCTTTCATTCCTTAAGCAACAGGTATTGTCCATCAAATTACCATGTTTTCCCTTTAAGCACCTTGCCCTGGTCTTCCTCTGTTTGAACATAAATTGGAACAAATTTTGGCCTAGCATCCGCACTGGGAAAGGTCAGTTTGTTCTCCATACTATCCACATCGATGTTCGAAGCCCACTTAGGTTTGCTTTTTTTTTTTTTCTCCCACA